CACCTGAATAGCCAAATAAGGGAAGTCCAGAGACCACGCTCAATAATGAGCCCATCTCCTTTCATTTCCCAGATACTGTGACATGGAAGAACAGGGTGATTCCTACCTAACCATTCACAAGAAGCAGCCCCCAACTTTATCAGCCTCTGAGAAATGACTTTGCCATGAGTTATGTGAAATATTGATTCATCATGAGCATTTAACTGCATCAAAAAATCTCTCTCTCCAAAGCAGGAAGACTAGTATTAGAACTACACACTTAAGTTGGGATTGGCATAGAAATACCACTATATTTACAGAAATTCAAACATGAAATTCAACATGGGGAGGGTTTTGACATGGGTACAAATATAAACTTGGTAATTGTATAGACAAGAATATTACAACACAAACTAAGTTCTGACCTCTGGCCATACCAGACAAACCACAGCACTGGCACTCTTAGACTTGATCTACACACAGAGGTGCAATTATATATGCATTTTGGTAGAGTCCTACAGACCTGTATGTGGACACACATCTGTATAAACCTGATTTATGCTGGTTTAGTCTGTCAGACAAGCCAAACCAACACACGACATGTTTAAACCAGCAAAAGAGTGACCATAAAAAGGTGCATGTGTTTAAGCTTAAATGAGTTCATAACCTGATGGGCTCTTTCAACACTGCACTCAGAGGGGTGATTGCAGTACATGAAGAAGACTGAGAGGGGATTTAACAGCAGCTTTTAACTACCTGAAGAGTGGTTTCAAAGAGGATGGAGCTGGACTGTTAGTGGTGGCAGATGACAGAACAAGAAGCAATGGTCTCAAGTTGCAGCAAGGGAAGTTTAAGTTAGCTATTAGAAAAAACTCTCTCACTAAGAGGGTAGTAAAACACTGGAACGGGTTACCCAGAAAGGTGGTGGATACTGCTTGGGGGGTTTTAAGACTGGACTAGACAAAGCCTTGGCTGGGATAGTCTAGTTGGGGATGGTCCTGCTTTATGCAGGGGGTTGGACTAAATGACCTCCTGAGGTCCCTTCCAATCTTCATTTTCTATGATTCTATATACATGCTTGTTAGGGTCCCTGGATATAAACTCTGATGTGTAACCAGCACTGACGCCTCTGTAACCACATCTTTGCTGCTAATGTTACCCATACTAGCTAGATCAAAGCTAAGCTTTGTATGGCTATCTGTACTGCAATCACACCTCTGAATGAACTGAAGGCATTAGCAATGACTGCAAAGTGAAGACAGAGGAAGCTACCTGCACACTAGCCACTTCCACATGGGGTATTAAAGCAGAGTAGCTGATGCACTGTAAATTCACAAACTGGCTTAGAGCAAAGTAACTGCTCCAATGAGCCCAACACTATTGTGAGCTAAGAGCACTTGGCAACTGAGTGGAAACATTCACACAGAGGTTTCTTGTGCTTTAACCTATGTGCATTGGCTTCACCCAATTTACTGATTCACTTTGACTTCCCCAAGTGTCCTTAGGTACAGTCTTAAAGTCAAGCTGGTGCAACTTCTGTACTTAGGCCTCGTAGGATTTTAAATCAGGCATCACCTTTTCCTCCCTGTCTGCTCTCTCTACAATAGGATGGGGATGGGGGGGGAAGATGTGTGCATGGTAGAAGGGTTGTTACATACACTTCATTTTCCTTCAGGAGAGAACACCCCTCTGCTCTCATAGAGTGTTCCACCTGCAAGACAGATAACCTCCTTAATCAAAATGTCCTGTACTCTCTCAGCTCCATCCCCAGCAAAATCAGAGCATATAAGAATGCTGGAAAATCCAAGAGTCTAACTAGCCACTTGTCTGTAATTCTCTACTCTGAGCATGTGCATTGAACAGCACAGCATGGAACAGGTTCAGCACACGGCTGCAGTAATACTTGGTAACAATGCAACAAGCACCACTCTGCAGGAACAGGAGCACCTTTTGTCTGGGAACCTTCAGTGACCTATGCCATCATCCCAGCTTTAAAGAAGAAGAAACTATGGGACAAGAAAGGAAAGTGACCTGCCCAAGATCACTCAGTAAGCCAGTTTCATGAACAGTACTTGTTTCTCCTTACTTAGCATCCTGGATCTGACCACCAGACAACACTGCATCCTGTGCTTCAGGACAAAGTATGAGAAGGGTTTGTTATCAAGGCTTTTTGTCTCTTTTAGAGATGTCAGCCTGAGATTAAGCCCCCTGGAGTTTTGAAATTTTCATCCACGGAGCTCTTCCCCAGAAAGTCTATGAGCAACAGAAGCATTTTCAGAGCCTAAAACATGCAACAACCCTTCCTTTTTTTGCTGATTTCCTTCTTTCCTTGGGCTTTCATGCAATTTGACAAGGTTGTAAGTGGACTGAACATTAAAGAAAAGAGCAACAGTGTTCCCCACCTGGAGAAAAACATGAACGGACAATACTGACTCTGTGTTGTTACCTTGCCTAATCAAAGTGGATGCAAAACCTCAACAAAGGCCACTATTTCAATACAACCTCAAACCAGGGCTCTAATGATAAAATCTTCAGCTGTTTCTGGAGTAGGTTCCCAGGCAGAGAAATACTCAATCTAATTGCACTTGTGAGAAAAAACTAAACCCACCCTTCTCCTGGGCCTCTCAAAGACCAACCAATTTATACGGTTATCTCCAAAGGGTAAACACTTATTTCCTGGGATATTTCATCTGCTACCCATCTGCTTTACTTTAATCAAGTGGAAAAGGCAGGTGTGAATGTGGAGTCTGATGCTTTAAAAGATGCTGACATACCGTGGGGAGGGGGTCATGTAAGTAGCTTGAGAGGAATAACTAGTTCATGTTTTTTCAGTTTCTCAGTTATGTTTTATGCTATCCTAAGGAGAATTACATGAAGGCAAAAGCTGGTAGGGGAAGAAGGGGAAGACAAGTAATTATCGTGAAGGTTAAACAGAGCAGTTATTTCACTGTCTGTAGAAACAAAATCAACATTTGAAAATCCAGGATTCAGACTCCAATACAGTAGCTTAAACATCATGCTTATCTTGGCAGAATTGTGTATTTTACTTCTCTCCCCACTGAAACCAAAAGGAGAATGGACACTGAATTGTCAGGGATACGATTACAGAAAACGTGGTACACACAACTGCTTGCTTATTTGGGGGCGGAGAAACAAGTGTGCATGTAAATGTCCAAAACAGCCACATGCACAAGCCAACATCTTCTGTCCATGTAAATATGCCATGGCATT